ATGAACATGCTAAACTACATCAAACAATTCATCCACATAGAGACAGAGTCAAACTGGGCTGGCTCTAGACAAAATCATGCAAACTACTCGACACCTGTGGTGTCCTTTCCCAGTGCCCTTCCCTTGTACTTGGGATCTAGCAAGAAAGAATGTAGTATTTATTGTTTATCCATTGATTAAATCCATTATACTGTGATACCTTCTTTTAAGAAATTTATATTTGTTCATTTGTTCATTCCACAGATATTTATTGAGACTTTATCGTGTCCAGAAGCAATTTTTTCCTTCCTTCCCCCATCTCCTCTCTTTTTCCTTCCTTCCATCTCTCTCTCTCCATCTTTTTCTCCTTCTTTTTTCCTTCCATTGTCCCTAACTCTCTTCCTTCTCTCCTAAAGAAGTCCAGGGGTACCTGGGTGGCTCAGTCAGTTGAGCATCTGACTCTTTTTTTTTTTTTTTTTTTTTAGAATTTTTTATTTTTTTTTTTATTTTTTTTAATTTATTTATGATAGTCATGGAGAGAGAGAGAGGCAGAGACACAGGCAGAGGGAGAAGCAGGCTCCATGCACAGGGAACCCGATGTGGGATTCGATCCCGGGTCTCCAGGATCGCGCCCTGGGCCAAAGGCAGGCGCCAAACCGCTGCGCCACCCAGGGATCCCGCATCTGACTCTTAACTTCGTCTCCTGTCAAGATCTTGGGGGCCTGGGATGGAGCCCCACATCAGGCTCCATACTCAGCAGGGAGTCTCCTGGAGGACTCTCTCCCTCTTTCTGTCCCTCCCCCAACTCATGTGCACACACACACACACACACACACACACACACACACACATTGTCTCTCTCTCTCTCTCTCTCTCTCTCTCTCTCAAATAAATATATCTTCAAAAAAAAAAATCGTCCAGGACTCAGTAGCAAACAAGTGGAGGAGATGCAAGGTCTTCTCCTTACTTTTGAAATTCTAATAAAGTACAGACTGGACTCAAGGTAAACCTTCTTTAACCATTTTGGGAAGAGGGAAACCAACAGTCAGGAAGTCACTCCACAAGGACCAGATAGTGCTAATCCCCTGGAGAAGTTTTAAAAAATACACACAGATCTCTCTGAAGCCTTTACTAAGTCCTCTTGATTTTAGAGGCTTAGCTTCATAGACTTGGCAGACAAGCATTTCATTAGAAGTATACCAAGTACAATGATTTCCCAGTATGTACTGGAAGAGCACTTGCCGTAACTTCTCAAGGGAATGATGAGGCATTTTTGTTAATGTGATATAGTATTCTAGAGTTTTGCTTTTAGCTGTGCATTTTACATGCACAATTTCAAATGAAAAGTTAATTGAAACTATCATATTTTACTAAACTTTTATGGCAGCTATCCAAAGTATGAATCACTTCATTTGAAATAATCCCAGGTTTGCAACAAGATTCGTGCTTTTAATGAGCCTGGTCTAAACCATGGATTTAATGCAGAACCAATTCAGTTAAACTGTGTGCTTTTTCTGATCCTGTTGTAAATGTTTTTTATAGTTTTAATGCTTAAGAGACTTTTGTCAAACTTTTTGGTGACAAGTAGATCAAAAAACCCACAGTTATTTGGCTCTATCCTTCTCCAAAGCTGGCAGAGAATAGGAATTGCAGAATGCAATTGGCAGAGCCACATGCACACAAAGACAATGTAATAACATTTCAAAAGGACAATTCCATGGGGTTCTTTGTTGAAAGCATTATTTTGTCTGGTTTCAGTGATTTACTGTTTTTTCTTTCTAGATTTTATTCCAGAACTTAGAAAATATCATATTTAGAAATAAGAAGAAAAAAACAGTGCTTTGTACCTTTCAAAGACCACAAAATACATATAGGAAAAGACAAAAATAATAAAGAACTTAAATTGGAATTTGTTGAAATGCTACATTTCTTTGACTTTATTTTGTATTTAACTTATCTTATGCATTTATACTCATACTGGTAATGCACTAAGTTTCTTCAATAACATGGAGAAAAAGCAGAATTATATAATAAATTTAAAAGAGGTTGCAAAAAAAAAAGAAGAGAGAGCAAAAGTGAACTTAGAATTAAAATGACCAAGGAAAATATGTACATGAAAAGATGTATAATATTCTTAGCTTTTAAGGAAATTCAGATTAAAACTTCAGTGAGATAATACCATACATCTAGTGGAATGGCTTAAATAAAAATCTTGACAATACCAAGTGCTGACAAGACTGAAGCAAATGGAACTCTCACACATTGCTGATGGGAATGCAAAATGGTATATCCACTCTGGAAAACAGTTTTAGCAGATTCTTATAAAGTTAAACATATATCTACCATCTGAATTAGCAGTATCGCTCCTGATTTTTATCTGTGGGAATTAAACGTTATATTCACATAGTGTCTATAGATGAATGTTGATAGCAGTTCTGAATGTTACTGTTGTGAACTGGAAAAAAAAATCCAAACTGTGGTATACCCATGATGTGAAATAATACTGAGCAATAAAAAGGAACAAACTACTGATACATGCCATAACCTAGATGATTCTCACAAATGACATTATGTTGAGTGAAAGAAGCCAGTCTTAAAAGGCTATGTAATAGATGAGTCCATTTATATGACATTTGAGTGTAGAACAGCAGAGGTTGCCAGTGTTGTGGTAGAGGAAGGATGTAATTATTTTGGGGATAATGAAACTGTTTTGTAGCCTGATTGTGATGGTCTATACAAGTGTTAAAATACATAAAATCATGCAAGAAATAAAAATAATAAGTCTGAAGTATTTAGGTTCAAATCTGGCCTCAGGTTTTCTAATGGAAAAAAGGAAGCTTATTCAGTTATACAATTAACAAGATCCCTAATGGAGGAAAAGGAAAAAAAAAACCAAAACACCGGGAACTCTGAGGAAGTTCAACTAGTATTCACGTTGGTACCAGATGTGCCTTCACAAAGGGACCATGTGTTAATCACATAATAAGGTCCTATGTAAACAATGATTTAGTTTCACTAAAATGTTTCATTTTAGGTCCTTCAACATAAGCCATAACTATACCAAAAGACAGCTGAATAAAATTAATTTGAGGTGTGTCAACTCCATGTAATCTAAAAAAATAAAAAAAAGAAGAAAAAGAAAAATCCTTATTTTGCTCCAACCAGAGGTAGATTTTAACATATCCTTCAAAACTGTCAACTTATGTCACTTCTGTGAAGCCTGCTTCACCTGTGGCAGAGTTAGGTGTAACATTTGTCCTGTTCCACAGCATTCTGCGTCCAACTTTAAAGAGAAACTGTGACATTATTTGTGACTATTCATTTACTTGATGATTGCTCTCACTATATTGAGTTTTTGGAAAATAGGAATTTTTTTAATCTTTGTACTTTATCAGGCTGCCTGGCATATAATTGATGTTATAATATTGGTTGACTGAATCAAATACATGTGGCATTGGTAGTAGTGGGGAGGGGTAGTGCTGAGGATGGAGAGGAAAGGTACTCACCAAACAGCTTTCCCTCTGAGGACTAATTTGAGAAGACTCAACACACAACTGTGAGGAAGATATTGCACATGAGGCTATTGAATGGGATTTATGAACTGTGCCCAGAGAACAGCAGGATTTTTAAGGCTGTATGGACATAAGTATTCCATAATGTTTAGAAGTAAAAACAAAAGAGTTAGGAGTCATTAAGATGTCCACACCTTCTAGTTTAAGTCTTAAATTAATTTGCCCATTTTGCCTTTTTTTTTGTTTTTTTGTTTTTTTTTTTTAAGTAATTTACACCGGATGAACTGCTATGAAATTTCTCTGTGACCTTGGGAAAGTCACTTAACATTGCTAGGCCTCAAAATGCTTATCAGAGAAATGAAAGGGATTTAGTATTCACACAAAACCAATATTTTGTTCTTTCCTGACGTCTTAATAGTTTAATGAAAGCCATATTTTATAGGCTTAATACATAGAATCTGACTTCCTTCTCTGACTTAATTGATGGGCTGCTCAATAATTTCCCTACCTGACTTGTTTTTTCTCATCCGTTTGCTGCAATATTTAAAATTCCCACCAGGATCTGCTTGGGTTCAGGATTACCTCTCTAAGGCTCCTTTTAAAATGCAAGCAAATTATCTAGAGGATAGACACATAAACTCATTAATACATATTCAATATGGATTAGTGATCTTTAAAACTTAAATCCAATCAGGTCACCACCTTACTTAAAATCTCTTAGTGGCCTCCCTATGGGCTTAGGATAAAGACAAACTGCTTATTATAGCCTTTGAGCCCTAGGGTATTCAATCCACCTTCCAACCCACCTCTCCAGACTCACCCCCATTACACTTCTTCAGCTCTCTGACTCCAACCTCTCCACCTTCCTTCAGTCTTCTGCTATCACCCTGCTTCTTTCAGCCTGTCACTTGTCCTTCCCCTAAGCACTTTTTTCTAGCTTGCCTCGTTCCTGCCTATTTATCTTTCACTTGCCATTTAATTGCTTTTTTCTCAGGGCAGTGTTCTTGATCTTCATAACTAAGTTACTTTTTCCTATCCCTGACTTCCATAGTAGCATCCTGCCCCTCTGCTTAATTGTTCAGCAGAGCCTTTCTCCTGTGATTATCAGATTACTGTCTGTCTGCCTCTGCTAGATGATAAACTCCCTGAGGACAGGGATTATGTCTGCTTTTGCTTACTGTGATAGCCTTACTGCCTATCATGAGGCCTATCACGTAGTATGCCTTCATAAATAGTTGTTGAATGAATGGATAAATAAAGAATTAAATGAATGAGTAAATAAATATATCATCAATCTATTCATCTCTAGTCTTAACAAAGCACAGAACTCTGTGGAATGGGATTTAATAGCCAAAGTTTTCCAGTGGTCTACCAAGAGGCCCACTCCTCCCTAAGCTTGTTTTGTTTTATTATTTATTTTTTTTCTCACTTCTTCCTCTATTCTCCTTGTTTGCTCTCTTTCAGTCACAGTGGCCTCCCTGTGGTTCTCCAAACATATCAAGCCTCCTCTGACCTTAGGGCAATTGGTCTTTTCTTCCTGGAAGTTTTCCTTCATATTTCCACATGGCTGACTTCTTTACTCAGAAGCTGCCTTCTCTTCACTCAGCATAACACCCTCCAGTTCCATCCATGTTGAAGCAAAATGGTGGGTATTCATCGTTTCTAATGGCTGAGTAATATTCCATTGTATCTATAGACCACGTCTTCTTTATCCATTCATCTTTTGATGGACACCGAGGCTCCTTCCACAGTTTGGCTATTGTGGACATTGCTGCTAGAAACATCGGGGTGCAGGTATCTCAGTCTTTCACTGCATCTGTATCTTTGGGATAAATACTACATGTTGGCAAATAGAACTTCAATAAAAAAAATACCAAAAAAAATAATCATTTTGTACTTAAAAAAAAAAAGAATTATTCATGAAAAAAAAAAAGAAAGAAAAAGAAAAGAAGCTGCTGTTTCAATGAGGCCCACCCTGGCCTTTCTATTTGAAAGTACAATCCTCTCCCTATCCTCCCCCAGCTCTATAATCATCATCCTCTTTACCATGCTTTCCTTTCCTTTCTTTTTTCCCCATAGCCATATTATCTGCTAACATCCTATATAATTCATGCGTTTATTCTATTTATTATTTCTTTTCTGTTTCTGTTCTTAGATATAAGCTGCACAGGGCCAGCGATCTCTCTTTGGTTCATTGATAGAACTCCAATACCTCCCTGGAACACTGCTTGGTGACGTGTGGTAAGTGCTCAATAAATATTTGTTGAATGAATGAAGGGAGGGAGGTGGGCAGAAACATTGTCTAGGTGAGGTATAACATGAAAAATACCAGGCAATCAGCAGTCACTAGATTATCAATGGGGAGCAACAGGAGGGAGACAGGGTTTTCTAAGGCAAAGCCAACCACCTCTCCACTATGCATTAGGCCTGACCCTGCTTTTAAGTTAATGAACATTAATGGAGGAGGATTCTAATTTACTCCAAAATAATTTATATACTAGATAGGCTTATGGGCACGACCATGCTTCTGACAAAGGAAAGATTTCTGCCTTTGAGTTCTGCTATGTAAACATGGCAGATGGTTATATAAACATAGTACTTAAGAACTGTATTTGGCAAAGAAGTAAGAAATAGTCTTACAAGGACATTCTGCACTTTGTGTTATAAGAACTAGAGAATTGTACAAAGACATAAAGTCCCTTCCTCTCAAACCTGTAAAAGGTATCTATTACCATGTCCACCCAAGTCCACCAGATTTCCAAACTGATCAAACTTTCTTGCTTTTACTCCATTTGGACAACCTTGACAAATTTGATATTTATTACCTTATATTTAGGAGAAATGTATTTGAACATTATTCCTTAAAATTGACAAGACATTTGATATATAGTTAACACTTGCAAATCTGGAAACTCATGACATACAAAAAGGGAGAAAAAAATAATGGAAGTGTCTTGAAATTATTCTAAATAGTATGCTACCTTTGAGAGGGAAACTTGCTGAAATTTTCTATTCAGTAAAAAAAATCATAACCAAGTTGGGTTTAAAGACTAATTGTATCAGACTTAGTGGAGGTTAGATAAATTTTAAGGTCAAACTTGAAGTCACAGGGAAGATAATACGGACTTTATTCTCAAGTACAGCTGCCAGAAATGTATTTAGCCTATCAATAAACAGATAAAGAAGGATCCTTTGTTTCTTCCACTGTTACTCCTGCTCTTTGAATCTTTACATAATTTCTCTGCCCACATTTCCTCTAAATTATTTTTTTACAAAGAATGGTCTTATATGACACTTTGCATCCTACATCTTTCCACCCTAGTCTTCAATCTTTTTATGAGAATCGGAAAAGTAAGAGAACTAATCATACAGTCAACGCTGTGATCTTCTCAATGAAATTATTTAGGCGACTGAAGTACTCTCTATTCATGTTGAAATCGTAAAAATTATTTGCATTAAAATTTCCTATGGCTTTTGTTATATTGGTATTCTTATCTCATATTTCATAGAAAGATTTCTAATTGATGTGCAGTGGTCTAGATTTCAAGGATCTGGGCTGTGACTCTTGTTACATAATAATAGCTATTTAAAGTGTTAAGTCAAAAAAACCTGAACCAAACAAAATAAGATGGCAGGTAGGTGGGATCATGAGATATGTGGTTTGAATAGGGGAGTTGCAAACCTTGTATTTCAAAAAACTGGAAAACTGAGAAAGCTTCCTTCTCTCCATGAATTTTAAAGAGTGAACAAGCTTAACCCACTGAACACAACTCTGAAATGTTTCTAATTCCCTTATTATCAATGAAGGTAGACCAGAGAATGTGAAGAGAATTTTACCTTAGGGAAATGTACTGCTGTGCCTTCTCAGTAACTGTATAGTCCATTTCTGCCTCTATGCCTGAAAATTAACAGCATGTTAACAGGACGATTGCCTACACTGTGGCACTGTCTGTTTAGGATTAGGCCATTAAATATTGATGGAGATAATTGTTCCTGCGCTTGAACATCAGAAAGATGGAACTAAGAGTAGTTTAACTGGCATTTGCCTTTATGCTTGGTAAATAGAGGGCTGGATTTCAAAGTATAGAGGGATAAGTATTACCATGTGCTCAGTTCCACAGCCAAAGCATCATTGATCAGAAACTGTGGTTTGTAAAAATGTTATAGTAAAAGTTCAGTGAAATAATTCAGCTGAGCTTTGTTGGAATTTACTGAAATAGAATCTGATAGAACTGCGTCTTAAGAACATGCAAGCAGGATTTCTTCCCATTTGTCTAGGTTTGTTTTTGTTTTTTTTTTTTTTTAATTTGAAATGATTGTGTGTTTTTTTTTAATTTTTAATTTGTTATAGTATTGACTGCTATGGTACTTAGTGCATAATCTAGATTTCTTACACTTTCACCAAAAAGCGAGGACCCTTGAATTTGGACTGCCTTTGTTTGGGTCTTAGCTGTGCTTATGCCTACCTGTGATTTGTTGGGCTACTTACCTCTCTGAGACTCTGCTTCCTTCTTAAAATGGAGGTTTCAGTGTATTCATGCTATAAGTCACTGTAGCATTAAATGAGATGATATGTGTGAAGCTCTTAGCACAGAGACCTGCACACAGTAGACTCTCAAGTCATGTTAACCTTTGTGATGATAGAGCATCTATTTCTAGGAAGAAACAATGTGCTTCAACAGTGGCTGAATTTCGTGCCGAAAATACATGATCAGAAACTCGTTGCCTCCGAAAGGCTAAGCTGTTGCTTTATTTCAGGAGCAATGTTAAGGTGGATTTCATGTCTCTCATCTTTGAGTGGGGCCAAAGCCCGCTGCAGCTAGTTTTCGCCTAGAAATGTGGCGCAGAAAATTATAATGAAGCATTTCTCTCTTCCCTTTTTGCTTTTTTAAAGCTGAACCCTCTGAAGTCTTTACATGAGGATGAGATTGTTCACTATTTCATTCTTGATCTCATTTTGATACTAGAAATTTTTGGACTTTGGTTGGGAGGAACAGAAAGTAACTGAATGCATTTCAACATTCATTTGGTTCAGCTAAAAAAGACTTAACATCTGTAACTACATTTCCATTCAGTCTCCAACTTCTGGTGTTCTTGGAGTACAGGACAATGCCAACCCAAAAGGAACAAGTTTATTAAAACTGACAGAAGTGCATTCTGACATGTAGGAGGTGGAAATTCACAGATTCATTTCTTTTGGACTGTTTTTAAAAGTTTTTACCCACTATTCTCAGGAAGGAGTCACCACTGTTTGACATAAGAGAGCACAAAAAAAAAATAAATAAGAGAGCACAAATAATGTGGATGAACTCCGTGGAAATGTTCAACGTGCCCGTTTTAACAGACCTTCAGGGTGGAATAAGTCCTATTCTAATTTTTTGGTTACTTTTGTTGACTAGGCTAAGAGTGTTAACTTAAGCTATGTTCAGGATAAATATTAAGGACTAGAAACCATTTTTCTTTTACAATTATTTTTGAGAAATGCTTAATGCATATTCAATTTTATAATCTCTTTCTTTTCAACCACACCAAATTTCTACTGTCAAAGCTAGAAAACCTCTGTAGAATTAAAAGAGCTAAAATTTTATTTCGAACTTTTTTCTAAGTAGATAGAGTTTCATTCACAACCAGATAAAGATATCTTTGTATCCTACTTATTGCAATAATAGACCGGATGGATTCTTGGTAAAACCTGAATATTTTTAAATGCTCTATATGTTCTAGTTCTAAATTGCATGTTTTAAGCATATTGCTTTGAAATCCTGAAAAAATGCATACTGAATTTTGATGTGTTCTAAAACAGTCATGAAAATTAACATCTTCCCTCAGCCCAGGGCCAAGCAGATTTTTTTGCAGGGCCAAATTAGAATCTGCCTACAGGCTTCAGATAAAAAAAGGTAGCAAGCAGGCAACTTTTTAAAGTCAGAAAAGGCGAAGTAATCTTATATGGCTATCTTTTTTGGTAATCTAAGTAGCTAGGGAGGGGAATAATCTTTTAATTTAGGCTTAACCCTCTAGAGTGTGTGGATGTCAATAGATTTGTTTTCCAGGATGTAAGCTGGCATAATGGTACTCACACCTATAGAAAACAAAATGTTTTAATGTAGTTACTGGGAGTAGGACACTCAGGGCACATTAACTAGGTATTTATTTTAGATACGTGTTCTTTCAGTGTTCACATTTTGAGTTCACTAATTGGATATGTGGCATTGGGAGGTCAGAAGCCAGAATCATGGATTACTAATTGCAGATTACTATTTCTTCCTGCTCTGAGATTCTGTAGGTGAAACTAACAGCCTGGATTATGACAACCATTAGACTACATACAACACTAGAGAAGCAAAGCCCATGGCATCAGGAAAGGAAGAACATAGAGCAGTCTAGAAAGAGAAGGCCTGGGAACAGAAGCATGTGAACCTGGAAACTATGATACATAAATGTAGATATACATGTATAGAATGAGGAACCATTTCAACATTCAGGAGACTGTTATGAGCACCTACTCTACTGGGAATATACTAGATGTTTAGAGTAAAAAAATGGATAAGACACTCTTTGCCCTCAAACAGCTAAAATTCTGGTGAGAGGACCACAAGAAAATGAAGGAAATATGACCTGACGGAGATGGCAATAAAAATGGTAATATCAGCAAACATGTTTTGAGTGCTTAAAAGGGTCCAATCTCTGTTTCAAGTCTATTAGCACTCATTTTCATTTATACAACAGCTGAATAAGTTAAGGACAATGATTATTTCCATGTTGCATTTAAGAGACTGAGACTGGAAGAGATTAAATAACGAAACCAAGGTCACAAATCTAGGAAGTGGTGCTGCTACCAAGAGGAGGGAAATATAATAGGAATAAAAAGAGAAGGCAAGGTTTGAGAGGAAGACCTGTCTATCTATCTGTTTGCCTATTTATGTCTATATATCTCAGGACAGGATTAGATGTATATGTATCTATATGCGTATGCCATTGTATCCATCCTTACCATGCTTTATGTGTTCCCGCTTTTCCAATTTTCTGTGTTCCATTACCACATCTGGGCCATACTCAATGCATTTCCTCATTCTTTATGTCTGTCCACCTGTCAAGACCAGATCAGATTCTCCTTCGTTCATGAGTCCTTCTCTAATGATTTTTGATGGAAAAGATCTCTCCCCACTCCAAAACGTCATTAGCTTTATTCTTGTTCATTTACTCACTAATACTGTTTTATAGAGTATGTTATAGCTAGTTGC